CACCCCTGCTATTGATGACAAGTACACGACACCACCGTCAGCTTTTACACAGGGCCTGGGGACACAAACTCAGGTTCTGGTGCTTGGATGGTAGACATGACACTTTCTAAGCCACATCCCCAGCCTGCCACCCCCAACGCTTTAGACAACATCTACTTCTCCTTTGGTCCTTCTTTGCATTAGAGAAGCCTGTCCAGATCTTCCAGGACCTGTGCACCACCACACCCTGTGTATGCGGTACTGGGGATGGAACCCAAGGCTTCATGCATGCCAGGCAAGCACTCTATAGCTGAGCTGAATCTCCAGCCCCAGGAATAGATATTTGGGTTGATGTTATATTATGTGAATTGTATCTTAGAAAGCTGTTAAAAGCCTGTGAGCATAGCTTAAACAAAGGTTTCTTTGAGAACACAAAAATATGAGCCATTAAAATTACATATAGGATTTCATCAAAAGAAACCAGCACAGAATGAGCCATCCTACAGGAAACACTCTAAGGAAAAAGTCAACCACATTAGGGATTGCCTGGGGCTGAGAGGCTATCAGGGGCTATGGTAAAGATTGGGAATGGTGCAATTCCATTACAGCAGTAGATACAAAACCTCCCTGGGCTGGACACTGAAGAGAGTGAAGTTTATTTCATTTTTAAGTGGGAAAAAATAAATGTAAAGAAAAATGAGGGCCTGAGAGAGGACTCAGTAGTTCAGACAGTGTGCTGCTCCGGCAGAGGACTTGAGTTTGGCTCCAGGCACCCAAGTCAGACAGCTCCTAACCACCCGTAACTGTCAATGTGACCTCCTAACCACCCGAAACTCTGTCACCATGACCTCACTTGTTACCTTGTCTCACTCTGTGCTGGACACGCTGGGGGGCTTAGTAGGTCTGTTCTTGCTTAGAACACCCTCACAGGGGTCAGTGTAACTCTCATGTCTGAAGCCTCTGCTCTAATGGAGGGGAGGGAGAAAGACGCCATGTGTGTTGGGGAAGAGAGAGTCTGACCTCGGGGTCTGAGCCCTGGGAAAGAAACACCAGATCTTCAGTGAGCAGTAGATACTGTTAGTCAAAGTCACACCATTTTGTGACGTTCCCCCATGCTGGTTGAACTGTAACAGTTTCTGAAACGAAACCATTTGTTTTTTAGGGCTAAAATAACTTGTTTTGCAGAATTTTGCCCTTCTCAACCTTGGAGCTGACTCAGTGACAGCACAGCTGCAAGCAAATACTTTGGGTACCCACCAACCATGTGACTTGGAATTCCCCCACTTCCTCTAAGCTTTCCTCAGATCCCTGACCATACTGCTGTCTGCTTGTCTGTCTAGTGCTCTGCAGATGTGAAATACAGCTCTCACCTCACAGGGGAGAAGACAGTGTTTACTTGGGAGTTGGCTCCCAAAGAGTAACTTTTGTCTAGGAGCACAGACTAGGTTACTCCAAATTCCATGTTTTAACATGTTAATGTTTCCTTGCAGGTTTTTAAAAAGTAGATATTTATTTTTATTTTGTGTGGGGGTGCTTTGCTTTCATGCATGTATGTGTACCATATATGTGCCTCCTGCCACAGAAGCCAGAAAGGAGCCAGATCCTCTGAAACAGGAGTTAAGGAGACTACAACTTGCCCCATGGGTGCTGGGAACTGAACCCCGGCCCTCTGCAAGAACAACAAGGGCTCTAAAGAGCTAAGTCATCTCTCTAGCCCCCTCCATGAAGTGTTCTAGTAACAGAACAAACAAAGCCACACATCAGGGCACTTTTAAAGTATAGTGGCAGAGACCTAAGGAGGGCGGGCCGCTGTAGAGTGTGGAAAGCCCAGGTCTGGGCCTCAGCCTGCTGACTGGCGGAGAGCAGGAACCTCTTGTACATTCTAAAAGACTTAGCTAATGCTCACAAAGATAGGTCACACACAAGCAGGGCAAAATATGGCCCAAGATAGCTTGACTATGGACTGTCTTCATTTCAAGCTCTCCACAGTCACTGAAGCCACTTTCAAAAAAAAAAAAAAAAAAAAAAAGGAAGAAGCTCAAGGGTTAGAGAGCAGAAGACCAGGGTTCGGTTCCCAGCACCTACATGGCAACACACAACCATCTGTAAGTCCAGTTCCAGGGGATCCAGTATCCTATTCTGCCCTCCACAGGAACCAGGCACATGTGTGGAGCACATACATGCAGGCAAAATACTCACAGATATCAAATAAAAATATTTTTTAAAAATTAAAAAAAAAACTAAACCTAGGGAGAACGCTTATTTATGTTTGAGATAGGATCTCACTATGTAGACCAGGCTGGCATCTGGGTCTCACTATGTAGACCAGGCTGGCCTCAGACACACAGAGATTAAACTGCCTTTGCTGAGATTAAATGTGTGCACCATCACACTTGGAAAAATCTTTATTATTTAAAGTACATGATCATCTTTGTCAACATAGAGAGTTTGAGCACCAGGGTAAATGAAATCTTGTCTCAAAACAATGAGAATAAAAAATAATAGCATCATTGTAATAAAAAACTTATTTAACCAGATTATACAGATTATACTTATATGGTCTTAATAAGTAGCCATTCTTTCTCTTTTTACAAAGCTAACCTTCTCTTGGAGTGATCTCATCAAAGTGTATGTGTGTCTGTGTCTCTGTGTGTATGTGTGCCTGTGTGTGTCTCTGTGTATGTCTCTCTGTGTGTGTCTGTGTGTGTGCCTGTGTGTGTGCCTGTGTGTCTTTGTGTGTGTGTCTGTGTATGTCTGCCTGTGTGTATATCTATCTGTGTGTGTCTGTGTGTGCCTGTGTGTGTCTGTGTGTGCCTGTGTGTGTCTGTGTGTGTCTGTGTGCCTCTGTGTATGTGTGCCTGTGTGTATATCTGTGTGTGTCTGTATGTGCCTGTGTGTGTGCCTGTGTGTATATCTCTGTGTGTGTCCGTGTCTGTGTGTGCCTGTGTGCTTCTGTGTGTGTGTGTGCACCTGTGTAACATTTATTTATTTATTTATTTTGTCTGCGTGTCAGAGGATACCTTGCTGGAGTCAGTTTTTCCTTCCATGGTGTGACTACGAGCCTGGAACTCAGGTCCTCAGAGGCTCACCAACAAGCTCCTTTACCGACTGAGCCATCTTGCCATTTAACTTGGTTGGTTTGAGAGTGCAGTTTAAGGGTACAGCCATCTTGGTGGGGGGAGAGTCAAGTCAGTGAGAGCCACAAGCAGTTGGAAAGCAGAGTCACTAGTGAGTCAGGCAACTAGCCTTATAGAAGACTCAGCGTTGGGCGCAGCCCCTCCCAGGAACTTCTGATCACAGCATTGAACACAATTCTTCCCACAAAAGATAAGGTGTCTCAGTGTCCCCTTTGAATGCCACATCAGAACCCTTCAGGACAAGTGTGTCTCGTTCTTTTACCCATAGTATCCAGGGCCTAATGAATGAGTTAAAAGATACGAGACGTTTGAAGTGATCAAAGCTAAAACCCCTTTGTCTGGGATTTGGGAGTTTAAGTTCATGCTAAGACTGCGGCTGTGCAAATTGGAGGAAGTTCTGCTCAGTGGCCTAAACAAGCAGAGATACATATAACAAGCACATATAATCATGGGTTTGCACAGCTGTTGGACAAAGTAGAGTCTTGATTCTTTGGGGACTGAGGGAAGGGTGGAGTCTTGGGCCAAATGCTGGGTCATTTCAACTAGAGTCGGGTGGCTGTGGAAGAGAGATATGACTGAGGAAAGGAAGTTGAGGGGATAGGAGTGTGCTCTGAGAAGTCTAAGCGGCAGAACAAGGGGAGGGAGGGACTCTGAGGGCACGGTAATCTGAGAGGAGATGGGGGAGGGGGAGGTTGATTGTGTGTCTCAAAGCCTAGGAGTCTGGGAGGAGTGAAAGGCTAGAGAGAGCCTTGGTTGAGTTAGAGACCACAGGAGGAGCAGCAGAGAGGAACAGAGTCAGGGGCAAGTGTGGAGTGTGTGAATGTGGGTTTCTAAATTTGCATATTTTCCCCACGACAAAAAAAAAAAAAAAAAAAAAAAAAAAAAAAAGACGGCACGTGAGTCTGTGAGCGGTTATTTGCAACAGTGAGCAGGAGCCGCCTGTGTGAGCAGCTGAGAATCGGAGGGTCAGGTGGCCGAAGGAACGCGTTTCACCAGACATAAGACCTTCCTTGGGCAGGAGTGTCGAGGCCTGCCAGAGAGCAGCAGCTCCCGAACCTCCAAACCCAGAAGATACCATAAAGTTTGCGCAGAATGTCCCAGAAGCCGACCCTCCAGTTCCCTGGGTGGACCGGCCACGTTGGATGAGGAGACTCCCCAGAGGATCAGGTTTTCCGTAGAGAATCACAGAGGTTGTGGTTGTTGAGCTTCTCCTGGCCCAGGGGCCCCAGGACTGGGTGGAACAGCCACACCTGCCGGCAGTTCTGAGGAAGAGGGCGGAAACTGCCAGCGCCCGCCCTCCACTGGCTCTCCCCAGGCTTGCGTGCGATAGGCTCTCCTGGGTCACTGTGTGCCACACGGCCTCACTTCCCGAAATGGGCAACTGTATTTTTTAGAGTCTGACATCCCTCCCTGGTTGACCCAAGTGGCATGCCCGGGGTCAGTGTGGGCCCTAGCCCCGGGTGACTGGATGGAGCCATGGCCTTCCACGTTCCTGCTGCTGCTGCTGCTTTTGTGGTTACAGAGCTGTGTCTCAGGTGAGAGGTGGGGTGAGAGAAGGGAGAGACCAGGTCCTCCTGTCTGTCCTCCATTGCCTTTTCGTGCTCTATTGTCTTAATGTTTCCTGGGGTGGAGGCTGGGCTGACTTGGTGGGTCTTTGCCAGAGACCTGTGAGAATGTCCGTTCTCCTATGTGGTCCCAGGGAGAGCTCCACCAGGCCTCACATGGATGGTGTAGCTGTATCCTCTACTTTGGCCTTTATCTGCTGGATTTCCTTGGTATGGAGAACTTCCTCACAGAAATTACCTGCTTGGCGTTTGTCTGTCTAGAGAGTTCTGGCTGGTGCTGTTGTGACTCCTCGTACATGTCTGCACACTTTGAATTCTGTTTTTCTTGGAAAGCTGATGCCATATCCGGTCCCTCTGCTCTGACCTGCAGGGAACCAATCCTCAAAGGCCTTTTGCTAATCGTGGCTACTCTCTGCGGGAGGCTCACCCATTCTTGCCTTCCTGGCTGCCAAGGCAACCCCTTACCACTTCCTGTTCCGTTCTGGGTATGGTGAGGGCTGGCAAACCCACCCCTTACTGTTTGACAGAAAGTGAAGACATAAATGAACCACGGACCCTAGAGGCTTCCTCCAGGTGCCCCTCTGTTGCTCTGCATGGAGAAGGTTTTCGAAACACTGAGCTGAGGTGAATTTGACAGGTCTGCTCTGTTTGGTTCACTTTGCATGGGAAGAAGATTAAGAGCATCAGCTACAGTGGCAAGTGGCTTGGGGGGCTTAACTGTAGCTCCTCCCTCCCTCTGCCCCCTGAATCATCCTGCCACCTCTAACTCTACTCTCTCTTCAACAGATTGGGTTAGGAAGGACACAGACCACATTCATGTATTCATTCATACTCCTTTGTTTGTATGTGTGTGTTACATACACGTGTGCAGGCCATCCACCCTCTTGCCCCACCCCCCCAGCCGTTGCTGGGGTAACAGGTGCACAGTGATTGTGCTTGCTGTTTTGCATGAGTCTTGGGTTTGGAACTGAGGTTCTCATGCTTAGTAGTCTTCATAAACCATCTCCCCAGGCCTTTTTCTCCTTAGAGACAGGGTTTTGTTTCCAGGCTAGCCAGAACTCATTAGATATCCCAGGTTAGCCGTAAACTCTAGCTCTTCCTACCTCAGTCTCCCTCATGCTGTTACAGGCTTGTGTCACGTCTCACCCCAAGATAAAGAGACCAGGCATGTCTGTCCTGTGCTCTGCAAGCCCCATGCATCCTGGGATAGCTATGGCTTGCCTAATACATTTGTAGACCACAAAGTCAAGTTGCAGCATCGAACCATTGCATGAACAGTAGCATTAGTGAATAATGTAGCATCCACTGGCCGGCTCATCAGCAGGGCCATAAGTCTGTGTGGCCTGCTTATCTTTGGGGTTTATAACGATGGACTATTTGAATATTAAGCACCATGGACAGTACTATTTAAAGGCCTTCAGCAGAGGGTGGAGGTGTGGCTCAGTGGTGGAGTGCTGGCCTAACATGCTTGAGGCCCTGGGTGTGATTCCCAACACACCATACAAAACCAACGGGACAGAGCGGAGAGGGAAAGAGGAAGAGGAAGAGGAAAATTATTACTGGGGGAAATAATTCTTCATCGCTTTCCTAGACACGGGACCTTCTTGTAACCACAGCGGTTTGTGCGCTCAGGCTCCAGAGCTTAGTGACCTGTTTGTGTCTGCACATCTGTCCCAGGCAGAGCCCTGGTCTGTCATGAAATACTGGACATCCCTGAAGACCAGAAACTATCCAGAGAAAGGGATGATATCTGGTAGAGATATCCTTCTAGGGCTGCTTCCTCATTGGACTGGGGTCTCCTCCATCAGACTGGGGGCAAACTGTTAGGGGGCCCTGTGCTTCTCCCATCTGACTCCCTGAGAGTGGGGCTGTGTTCCCCCTTCACCCTGAGCTCCACAAATCCAGGGCTGCTGCACCCTTCTTTCACCTCCTGCTGCTGGTTTCAAGATGTCTTTCTCTTCCTCTCCAGACCGTGCTCAGAAAGTCCTGTCTCCCCAGGTCCCTCCAACGAGAACGTGTACAGGAAAGTGTGGCGGCGTGAAGGGGAGTCTCTGACTGTGCTGTGCTCCTACAAGAACCGCCGGAACCGCGCTGAGAGCAAGGCTTGGTGCAAGGTCAGGAAGAAGAAGTGTGAGCCCAGCTTCATCCGGAGCTGGGTGAAGGGGCCCAGCTACTCGATGCGGGATGATGCCAAGGCCAAGGTGGTCCACATCACCATGGAGGCCCTCAGAGTCCAGGACTCCGGACGATATTGGTGCATGCGGAACACGGCTGGGAATCTCTACCCGTTGGTGGGTTTCCAGCTGGAAGTGTATCCAGGTGAGCAGACCCAGCCAGAGCTGGGATGGGTGGGGTAGTATAAGAATGAGTGGTTCTTCACTATGGACATCTTCCTGTCTCCATTTTACGGACAAAGAAAATGAGCTTTATCAAACTCTGAGTGGCTCTGGCTTTGCCCTGTGTGGAGGAGAGATGGAACTCGGGACCATGTTTTGTCTTCAGTTGTCTGAACATCATATACTCACTGTTGGGGTGTGCCTGGCACTGTTGCAGGCCTTGAGAATATAACAATGAGCAAAACCAGGCATTGTCCTGCCCTGTGGGGAGCCCTGACAGTCACGCGCCATCTGACCAATCATGGCACAGTGAGACGCATGTGCTGAGAAAGCAATGATGAACTAGTTGCTTGGTGTCCGCGGCCTCAGGAGAGGAGAGCTCTGTCATGCTTAGAAGGGCACCTGCTGGGACAGCCTTATGAGCAAAGGCCCTGAGGAGAGATGCAGCAAGGCCTGCAGAAGGACAGGTGTGGCTGGGCCACTCTGGCTGCGGGGGAGAGGATTAGGGGAAAGGAACAGTTAGGTCTATAGTAATTTGTCACATTTATTTGTTTATTTGGGGCAAGGTCTCACTATGTAACCCTGCTGGCCTGGAGCTCACTGTGCAGACCAGGCTGACCCTGAATCTCTGACCACAGAGCTCGCACTCCCTCTGCCTCCCAGGAGCTGGGATTAAAGGTGCTGCACCCGCACCCAGTCCAATGCACTGCTTCTATTTAGGCTTTCAGTCAAGTGGTTCTGAGTTCAGTGATACAGAGCTGGGTCTAATTCTAACTGCAAAGGAAGAGAAGCATGCTGTATCTTATGTTGTTCTCCCACATGTGTGTATATGTAAATGTATGTGTGGATACACTGTGTGTATGTGGAGGTCAGAGGTCAGGCCCAGGGGTCATTCCCCAGGAGCTGTCCTCACTGTGTGTATGCGGAGGTCAGAGGTCAAGATCAGGTGTCATTCCCCAGGAGCTGTCCTCACTGTGTGTAGGAGGTCAGAGGTCAAGCCCAGGGGTCACTCCTTAGGAGCTGTCCTCGTTATTTTTGAGAAAGGGTATCTCTCTGGTTGGTAGTGTGCCAAGTGGGCTACACTGCTCCCCATGCCCAGATTAAAGGCACACACCAGTATGCCCAGGTCTGCATGCCTCCAAGGCCAGCACTGGACCGACTAAGCCATGTCTGTATTCTATTGTATTGTATATGTATGGCCTATTTTCTGTAAGGCCACAGTCACTGTTGACAAACGGTGGGGGAGGGAGAGGAGGCAGTGAGACCAAGGGGCCTGACTGGAAATAGCAGGGGCTTGGACAAGTGGGACTTGGGCACCTGGGGTGAGGGTAACAGATAAACTTAAATCTCGGCTTCGTAAGACTCTGTTTATTTTGGAGTGAGGGAAGATTTGCTCAATGGGGAGAATGGAGGAGAATATTGACTCCTCGGTTGCTGGGGGATGGTAGCATTTATGTCGTGGGGAACCACCAAAGAGTTCATATGGAGGGAAAATCGAGAGCCCTGTTTTGTCATGTGAAGGCATGTTCTGGATTCAGGTAGAGAGAGGAAGCAGGCAGTTGAAGTGTTAATGACGGGCCAGAACTGGAGTGTGCACTTTGAAGTGTCTCTGTGAAGAGAGTCAAGGGCATTTAAAGGTCACGGCTAGGGCTGTGGATGAGACTGTAGGATAAGGGGTCTCTCAGGCATATCTCAGTACAGCTGCCCATCACAACAAAGGGGATAGAAAAGTCTCTCTCCTGTGTACAGAAAGATGAGAGAAGAGTCTGAGCAGGATGGGGTCCCCACACTTATAGGACAGGAAATGGTGGGGACCCAGGAAGTGTCTGGGGAAAGCCACCCGTTTTGTCATGAGTTCGCCCTCCACCTGCCATGCCCTGCTCCCCTGACCTGAGTGCATCCCCATCCTCCCTGGTCTGAACCAGGAAGAGCTTTCCCTCCCAGCTGTGGTGCTGAATCTCATCTTGTGCTCTAGCTCCATGTCAACCAAGAAGCAGGAGAAACTGAGCCTGGGGTCTTCACTTGGAGGGATGCCATCAGGAAATGTGCTTATTGTTTTGCCATCATTTCTCTTATCAGCGTGTGCGTGGTGCGTACGTGTGTGTGTGTGTACGTGTGTGTGTACGTGTGTGTGTGTGTGTGTGCGTGTGTGTGTGTGTGTGTGTGTGTGCGCGTGCGTGTGCATGTGCTCTGCCTCTGGGGCCAGAGAACAACTTCAGCTGTCATTCCCAGGTACCATTGCTCTTTTGTTTTCTTTGAGCCAGGGGTTGTGATGAGCCTGAACATGCCAAGTAGGTTAGGCTGTCTCTGGCCAGTGACCCCAGGAATTTCCCTGTCTGCGCCCCCAGCATGGGACTGTAAGCCTGTGTTCCTGGGGCTGAACTCAGGTCCTCATGTTCACACGGCCAGCACCACTGATCGAGCTGTCCCTCAAGGTCTTCATTTTCTGCTTCTTAAGGGTCATTAATCTTGGGGCAGTTTCTACTTTGCCCATGTTTTCAGTTGAGAGAAAAAACAATCTCCTGCCCATGGCCACGTGACACTTGATGCCAAACCTGACAATCTGGGATCCCTGGGCCCATGTAGTAGAAGAGAAAACTGACTGCTACAGGTCCTTTGATCTCCATATTCATATCAGGAATGTGTGTGACCCCCAAATAAATAAATGAAAATGTAAACCTGTACTTAAACCTCAGCCCAATTACAGCTCTAAGAGCAGGGTGTGCAACGCCCCAGAAACCAGACCTTGTAGCCCAGGACAACTGAGTCCCGGAGAGCCAGCTGCTCTCCTGCCAGGCTCCTTCATCTTTTCCCTCCCCACATTGTTATTCAGGCTGCATTGCTCAGAACAATGGCTCAGGCCTCCCTGCATAGAGACCCCTGGACTCAGGAATGTCTTTTCCAGGCCTTGTAAGGGGAGGAGGGGTTTTGTAAGTCTTTCTCTGTCTTGCTCCTGCTGAGATGGACCTGTGAGTCCCCACAGGACTGAGAACTCCTGACTGCAGTTCCCACATGCTGTCCAGACCCCAGACTGCTGTTGATGAAATGAGTTAGGATGATGTCAGAGGGGCAGGACCTGCTCCTGGGTGTCGATGTGTACCCCGAGGAGGGTGACTGACCACATCTGTTTGCAGTATTCTCTTGAATTTGAAACCCTTGACTCCTCTCTGTCCCCAGTTCTAACCCCATCTCACAATTATGAAGCATCTGCCTTTATACAACATCACATAGAAATATCTCTTAAACTCCAAAGGGGCAGTGAGTTGGCTCACTGGGTAACAGCACTTACAATCAAGCCTGGGGACCTGGTTCAAACCCCAGGACCCAGAAGATGGAATGACAGAACTGACTTCTGCAAGTTGTCCCCAAACCTCCACATGTGTTCTGTGGCACATGTATACACACAGATACGCACACTTACATGCTAAGTAAATGTCATTTTAAAGGAAAGTTCTTTGGTGCTCTTGATTGACCCGGGAGCTAGGAAGTCAGATGACACTGTGCTGGGGACCAGCCCTGACAGGGGAGGCTGAAGAGAGTGTCCAGTGTCTCTCTTCCTCACGTGTCTACTTCCTCTTTCCTGTCTCCCTCTGAAAGAACACACAGCTGACACTCAGAAGTCAAGCCCAAAGTCACGGAGGGCAGATTCTCCTCAGTATCTGTGCAGCTGAGGGGCTGTGAGGTCTGTCTGTGGAACTCAAGTCTCTGGCTTAATCTAATATTTCCTCCTCTCTGGTCCCTCAGCCCTCACAACTGAGAGAAACCTTCTTCGCACACATCTAACCAACACCCTTGAGAGTGGATTTGTCACAACGGGCCAGGTCCCCATTTCAGGCCCTCATGTGCCCTTCACCCGTGACGTGACTGTCTTCACATCTGGACTCCTCACCTTGGCTTCAGGGACCACGGAGCCAACCCCTGTGACAATCTACAGTTTCACCAATTCCAGTGGCACCATCACAGAGCACGGGAGGAGCACAAAGAACCAGCCAGTGACCATGTCTCCTAGCGATGCGAGACCCTTCTCTGCTGATCCAGTGACCACCTCCACCGAGTCAAGACACCTGAGCAGCATCTTGTCCACCACGGGGATGTACCACCCATCAACCCCCAAGAGGTCATGTGATATTCTCTCAGGCGTGGCCCCAGCTCTCAGAGTCCAACAGATCTCAAGAGGCGGCTCTTGAGTCCATTCTTACTCCCTATTGCTCCCCAGAAACTCAGTGAGGTCACTGCTATTCAGCAGTGGATTATGGGAAATGGAAAGGGCCTTAAAGGAAGGAAATGGGATGAGGGTCAAAACTAAGGATGGAGAGGAGAGGGCAGGGCCAGGCGAGGGACTGGGGAAGGAAAGTGTGGTTGTTTTACTTGGGTTCCCCCAGACCCTGAGACAAGGAGCAGCATTTTACTCTGGCACGGGGAAGAGGGTGAGGTGTCCCAGAGAATGGAAGTCGTCTGGCAAACCGTGCTGAGGCGGCCTCTGCTGTGCACACAGGAGCATCCTCCCACTGGGCATCCAGTGTCAGGTGCCACCTTCTGTTCTCCACTGGTGGGGGCAGCATTAGGGCGCCAACACAATGGGAGTGCAGGCCCTGGTGTCACGTGGAGAGGGAGCTTCTGCAATAGAAAACAGGGTGGGGGCAAGAGGGGTCCTCAGTCACTATGGAGGCAGCAATCTTGATGTCGTGAGCCCCGTAGGGCCATTGTGAACTACCCTTGTCTTCACTGATGGGGGTGGAGGACATGCTGGAGGAGAGGTGACAGCAGAGATTCTGCCTTCTGCCTGCTGACTCTTCCATGACTCCGCTGTCTCCTTATCTCTTCCCACAGCTCATCCCCAAGAGGGGGCATCTACCTGGAGGGAGCGCTGTGAGGTTACCCACTGGGTAACCTCTGTGCTTCTGTCTGCCAAAGGAAGCTGTGGCCAAGATTGGAACCCAGTCCTTACTCTCTCCTGTCCTGCCTCCTCAGGTCCCAGGAGACTTACCTCACTGTGACGATGGTAGTCCTGACATTCCTTCTGACACCTGTGGTGTTGTTTATGGTCTATGGCTTTTGGAAGAAGAGGCACATGGGAAGTAAGTACAGTCACCCCTGGAAACCAGGGCCAAGATCTGAGTCTCTACTCTGAGGACTGTGACTCTGAGACTTTGGCTGGGGAATAAACCTCTGCCTGTGTCCAGTCAAGATGACCAGTGACATCCAGGGAGGAGAAGGGTGGCCAGGCATGGGTGGTCCCACATGTCCCTTATGGGGATGAAGGAACAATACAGAAGCCAGAGAGGGTCAAAGGTCACCCAGGACATTGGGGCACTGAGAGCAGGGCATGGCCTTTCTTCATCTCCTCCTGTTTGTTGTAGGCTACAGCTTGGGCAGCGACTCTGCTAAACCCTGGATATATCTTCCTGAAGGACCAGAGACACTGTGGAAACCTGCTTGGTATAAGATAACTCAGTGATCTGGAGAACTGATGCCAATGGACTCAGAGGCCAGAGAGGACCAAAGCCCAGACAATGGCCCTGGGGCAGGAGCACAGTACAGCTGCCTTCCTTTCACCCAGGGCCACCGTGTCCTCAGTTTCCCTCTGTTCCCTACAAATGTCTCTGTACATTTGGAGACAAGAGCCAGACTCATGAGCCCTCGGGCAGCCAGTGTCTATAGAGTCCTATTCTGGATGAGAAGGGACAGAGATGAAGACCTGGGATCACAGAGGAACTGGTACCAGGAGGTCCCAGAGCTGACCAGGGCCACGTGTCTTCTGATGTGTCGTGACTGTGGCTGCTGGTCCCTTCTGTCCTAGAAGCCTGAAGTTTACACATGGCACTTGGTTCCTGTCTGCCAGCCTCTCTCAGGTCAGCGAGAGCCTACAGGTGCAGGACCAGCCTTTTCCAAGATGGCTGCAAAGGCTGAACCTGGCCTCCCCCCCATCCCAGTTGCTTCTCCCATGCTGCAGTGATGAGCTCATGGAGGCGACTGAGACTAATGATTGGCGTGTCTGAAGCCCCATGGAGAGGGCCCCTCCTCCAAACCATGGGGTTGACCACTTATGAGAAAAGATTACATGGAGCTGCCCTGCATAGAAAAGCAGTGGGTGGAGGACTAGGACTGGCTAGTTGACACCAGATTCTAGGCTGAAAAAGATGGGCAGACACATGGGCACACAGACATGGACATATACCCATACCCACTCACACAGATAGAGAGAGTGACAGAGAGAGAGAGAAAGAGAGAGAGAGAGAGAGAGAGAGAGAGAGAGACAGAGACAGAGACAGAGACAGAGACAGAGAGACAGAGAGACAGAGAGACAGAGATCTGGCTCTGGCCAGCAAAAATCCTGCTATGAGCCATCCTTCTACGTGAGCAGCAGAACCATATCTCCAGGCAGGAGCAGAGAAAGCAGAGCCCAGGGTCCAATGGCCCTACTGACTCTGCCTCCATCCTATGCACAACCCAGACTTGGCCTCTACTACCGAGATCATTGGTCTAGAGTTGAGCAGGGACGGCTGAGGGGTGTGGTCTATGGACTGTGTGTGGGTTATGGGTTGTGGGCTGTGGACTGTGTGTGGGTTATGGGTTGTAGGCCGTAGGCTGTGGGCTGAATCGTCACCCTAGTAGTGGTGCACACTAGCCCATGGAGACTTGAAAGGTCCCTGATCCAAATGCAGCAGCTAACCCTCAGCCCTGAGTCAGGGACCTCCTAATGGGACAGCAAACATCACAGTCAGGAGGGTGACACACCTGGGGCCTTGGTCACACTCCAGGATGGCTTTAAGGAGAGAGGAGGAGCCCAAGGTGTAACCTTGGATAGAGAAAGTAACAACTTCCTGCAGAGCTTGACCGAGGTTAACTAGGTTGAGCAACTGACAAATCAAGTTCTAGAAGGAAGGACAGACAGACGCATCCACACATATCACTGGCTCGCTGGCCATCTGCTGAGACACTGCTCTAGTGGGAACCTGGGAGGATCAACTCACACTGCTGCCAGAGTGCCTCCTCCATTACTGTCCCTCCTCCATTCCTGTTCCTGCACCTTCCTTGGCCCTGACAGCCCTGTTTCCTGGACAGCAGATGGACAGGTGGTCAGGCATAGGATCCAGGGATCCCTGTGTGAACCAGACCAAGCCACTAGCCATATCTGGGCCTCAGTTTTCCCTGTCTTATGATAGGGGACAATAATTTCTACCTCTTAAGAGTGTTTGGGGGTGCATTGTAATGACGTAAACACTGTGCAACCACGCGAGCGTCTCCTGACTACTTTCCTGATGTTCATTCCTGTTCCATCATTCATTAGGAACTGACTTTTGCTTCAGTTTCTGCTCAGCTGCTGTGACGGAAACACTCTGACCAGAGGCTGCAAAGAGGGCCCCGTGGTTAACATGCTTATTGCTCCAGCAAGAACCCACGTTCAGTTTCCAGCACCCACACGGGGCAGCTCACAATTGCCTGTAACTCCAGTTCCGGGGTATCTGATGTCCTGGCCCCCTCAGGCATATGGTACATATGAACTATTACAGATACACACAAATACACCCAATCAAAAAATCTTTAAAAAACTACAAAACCCAGACACTCTGGCCAAAAGCAACCTAGAAAGTAACGGGTTTATTTGAGTTATGTTTCTTTGTCACGGTCTGTCTTTGAAGGAAGTCGGGACAGGAACTCAGGCAGGGACTGAAGCAGAGACCATGGAGGAATGTATTCTTCTGCCTTGTCTGCTCACAGGCCTGTGCTTAGTTAGCTTTCTTACACAGTGCAGGATATATTGACCAGGGAATGGTGTCTCCCACAGTGACTGACACTCCTATATAAGCTAACAACAAGACAATCCCCCAGAGACAGGTCCACAGGCCAGTCTGATCAGGGTGATCCCTCAACTGAGGCTCCCTTCTCTGGAGACTCCAGGCTGTGTCAAGTTGACATTTGAAGCTACCTGTCAACTTTCTTACTGTCACCTTGTCTCCTCCCTTCTAGGCTCACACATGGATGGTGCAGCTCTGTGCTGGTGGCTGCATCAGTTCCTTCTCAGTTGCTGTGATGGACACCATTGTTGGGGACCGCCTGGTCCTAGGCTTTCCCTGGGGCCCTGAAGTATGGGGAAGGATTGGTTCCTTGTCTAACACCAGGAACATGCAGGGCAATGCCAGTAAAGCCTGGGGCCAGGGCCTTAGAGAAGCTGTGGTTTCACGCCCTGGGAGCCCAACTCTTCCCCACAAGGGGCCGTGGTTATCGGTCTCAAGGTCCATGTGCTCTGTCTGTGATGCACCTGCAATTTCTGTGTTGCTTTCCTACAACAACGCCTGATTAACCTCCTGCTGACTCCATCCCAGTGCATGGTAGCTGTCTGCTGACCGCTCCCATTTCCCCTCTGCAAACCGTGTACAATAATTCACAGGACATAAGTTATCA